ATTGTAAAGAACAATGTGGATTAGACAATCCCTTTAACACTGGTATCAAAAGTGAAATCAAATAATCAATCGGATATTATGCAAATATATAAATAAAATATAAATACCTGTTTTGATTGGCAGAGAGATGTGAGAAAGTAAGAAAGACAGAGACAGGTGGGTGAGCTCCATTCACTCTTATCAGCAGAGAGAGAGAGAGCTGCACACTGTGCTGTAAACTCTTTAAAATACCTCAATAAAAGCCTCCTCTGTGCCAACAAGGAGAAATTGAAACCGGAGCAGTTTCCAGCTCTGTCTGCTCGTTTATTCCACTTTCAGCAGAAAACTTTATTTGCTGCAAAAAGTGACGTCATCCTCACTTTAGCCCATTACTCACATACTGAGCTGCCATAAAGAATCATTTATACTGCTAAAATAAATGTCCTAAATATCCTGCAAGACACTAACCCTGATGCATCCATCAGAGTGAGAATGTTAGAAAGATAAAAGCACTCGATTATAGAAGAAGTTTATGTGTGGCTGGATGAATGTTGTGTAAAGTGCTCTGAGTCTCCAGGAGTCTGTTAAATAAGAATCAGTCCACTGATGAAACACATCCGTTGCTGGAAACATGCTGAACATTAAGGCTGATTCTTCTCAAGCTGATCATCATCCTCACTTTAGCCCAGTACTCACACACTGATCCGGCATAAAGATTATATTTAAACTGCTAAACACTCAAACCTCATGGCAAATACGCTTTTTTTTTCTTTCCTTTTTTATTCCCTCTGACTTCTGCTACAAATATCTCATAAACAGGAGGCAGGTTCACTATAACCAAAACTACAGACTCAAACATCATGTCAGTGTTACAGCAAACAGCATCCACAGCAGTGTACAGTTAAGAAGACATTAAGAAAACAGTCCAACTTTTCTCTGCATCATTTCTTTTTCGGTTTTTGTGTGTTTGTGGTGAACTTCTTGTCTTTTCCACATCAGCAGATCGATGCAGGGTCTCTGTGGTCGTCGTTATCTTATCATCTGTTTCGGCTGTCATTAGTTTTCTGCACAAATCTTTCACTCTAAAAGTAAGAGTAAGTATGTTGCTGCTTGTGCAATCAGACTGACTCATCGTTCACTTTCTTTTGCTCGTCTGTATAAACTTTGTTGTGCCGTCAGTGATTCATTACATCACTTGTGTTTCATTGCCATTGTTGTATGTTGTTCATTAGTTAATGCCTGTTTGTTGTTTCACTGAATGAAAGTTCTGTGTTTGTAGTTTTTGTACTTCTGTTGTGTTCCAGGGATATTTAAATGCACTGCAGGTGTATTCAGCTGAGTTTATGATTCATAAACATCAACTGAAAGTCAAATAACATGTATTATTAATTTAAATTAAATATATATATAAAACACAGCTGATTTTTATCGTTGTTTCTTTTCCCCAATGTTTCTTTACTGGACAGTAAAACCAGAAAATGTAACAGATCAGTCTATTGAGCTTGAAGGAGAGGTCAGAGGTCAAATGAGACATAAAATTTTTAATCATTTTACAGTGCGTTCTGTATGATCATAATACGCATCACACTTATAGGAATCATAGTTTCATCATAAGTTATGAGGCTTTTTGTCAAACTTCCACCAATAAACCAAACTTTGACTCAGTGGTTTCAGATGTAAGCTGACTGCCTCTTTTAAATCACGTCTGTTGGTTTTAAATCAGAGAAGTTCCTGTTAGAAAAAACTGCTGAACTGATGAGAGATCAAGCACGTTTACTTACATTTTATACAAACGTGTTGTCTTAAGCAGGATTTACAGTCTAGCAGATGCAGCGCTGTCGCTCCGCTTCAGCACAAAGTTATAATAAGTTATAATAAAACAATTTTTTTCTGGTCTTGATGCATCCTCAATCATCCAGGAAGGTAAAACGTAGCGCTACGTCCAGATGAACAGAATCAACTTTTGGAGATTTTTTTTTCTGAATTAGTTTCCTGTATTTCAGAGTTTTTATTTCCAGAGCAAATTTTCTTATTTCAACTTTGTTTTTATTGTTTAAAAACATTTAATTTTCATTGGTTTCACTGCTAGTTTTATTTATTTTGATTATTGTCACTTATTATTGTATAGAAGGCAAATGTCACAGACAGGTAAACCAGTGCATGTGTTACAGTAAAAACCCACTGAAGTTGATTTCTCTATAATAAGCCAGGATTGTCCAGGTCGCCTGCAGTGAGATTAGTTCTCAGCAGAGCTACGCCCATTCTGTGCTAAACGCATGTGCTGGAAGAGGAAGTGAGAGTGAGACTTCATTCCTATTGAGCCTTGCTGTTGATAGCACACGTCATCTGCTTCCAGTCAAGGAAGTCAGGATGTTCGTGTTGTTGGAGCTTCTGTGGAGCTAATCAATGTTGTTATTGTGAATTCATCCATTTAATTAATGTCAGAGAAACTCAGAAGTACGAGTCCTGATTTTATTTTAGATATATTAAAAATAATGGGAGCACTTTATATATTAATGCCACACTATTAAGCATAGATTAAAATGTGCTTAATTCATCATTTATATATTATTACTCCTCTTTAGTCTGTAATTTGTAAATACAGATATATTATTATAACTCTGATTATGGTTATTATTAGCAGTGATGTAATACATGGTGTATACAAATAAAATATCTGTATTGACTAATAGCATATAAGGAGCAGTGCAGTGCTGCCAGCACCAGTTTAACCAGCAGAGCTTCCATTGTTCTCTGCACTGACATGTCTGAGCATTTATACTGGCAGGTGGAGGATGTTACATCATCACAACATTGTAAACAGCGTTGAATCTTTGCTGCAGCTTTGATCTCACAGAGAAATGATCAAACTCACCTTCTGTATCTAACAGATTATTAGATTGATTAAATAGTCATATATCCAAGTTAGTCTGTGGATGCTGTGCTACATACTGCTGAGTCATTAATGACACAGCACGTTTTTGTTTTTCTATTATGAAAGTTCAGACTCGCTTACTTCACCTGACAGGTCGGCTTGTTTTTATTTTTGCTCAGTGAGACACATTATAATGTCTGAGGCTTCAAACTGAACAGAAAGTGAGACGGAGCGGACTAGTTACAAACTGAGACTCGGAGTTTCTATAGAAATGATCCAAGTACAGAGTAATTTTTGTGATGCGACAAAGCGCGACAGACAGGTTTCACTGTGGGGTTTCCCCTGCGTAATCACATCACGGGACTTCATAACCATCTAGGGCTCAGTTACACCGCTCCGTAGGCGGAGACTTAGAGTGAGCCTCGCAACTCATTCATTCAATTCGCTCGAAGCAGGCAGGGACTGATCGGACTGCAGCTTTCCAAAAAACGCGCTTCAGTCAGAAAACGGAACTTTTAATCATCGATCATGTCTCTGAACAACTTCTACTTTAAGGACTCTTCCTTTTTCTCACTCCGGACTTTTCTCCTGTGCTCGGCTTTGTCCGTCTGGACTCCTGTACAAGGTAAGCCGACGTGTCCAGCTTCTAGCTGCGTGTTAGTGCAGATTACAGTGAATTTTAATGAAAAACTGGCGGATGTGAATAAGCTGAAATGACTGTTATCAGCTGTGCTGTGTTGTCCGTCACTAACAGTGTGACAGCTGTCAGTGAGTTACTTTAAAATCGGAAGAAGCTTAAAACGAGAAGATTGTCAGGCAGGTTCTGACTGTGTGAGGTTTGTTTATAACGGACACGATGGCGGTGATTCACCGAGCAGTCTGCGAGCATGTCAGGTTTATGAGAGCCGTGTGTTTGTCAGAGGAGAGAAAGAGCAGAGTTACAAAACACAACGTCCGGTGAGCCGAAACTAAAACCCTGTTTATTGATCCGGAGTGATGCAGACTCTGCCCGCACATGCTGCTGCTGACTACACGTGTTTCCACAAGCTAATGTGTTTTCTATAAAAACACATTAGCTTGACAACCCGCCATCATGACCCCATCAGGAATTACGTCTGACTGCCCACGTGGCTCGTTTGTCCAATCAGGTGTCTGTGCGTGTTTTGTAGTTTCCTCTGGATTTGTAGTTTAAAATTTTTAATAAATGAAATTAGTTGGTTATTAAACCCGAACTTATCTTATTTTTCTTTATTTGGAGCAGTTAAATAATCAGTTTCAAATCAGTTTCAAATTATCAAAAGATCAGCATGAATCAGTGTAAACACAAAGCAGTCGCTCTGTATGATAGTAATGAAATAAAAGATGTCAAATTAAATCAAGTTGTTTATGTAAAACTTAAAAATGTTAGAATTTCAGTACCACAGACAGAACATACGAGGCTCAGTCAGTCTGTAACAGAACAACAAACAGCCATCACTGACAACAACTGCACACTGGTTATGGCTGAAATTTTGTAGCGTATATTAAGAGACACTAAAGTAACAGCACAGAGACTGATGGGGCTGTTACTGATTTTCAGGTCTTCAGTCTATAGTGGTGGCAGTTCAGGAGGCTTAATTTTCCATCTGTTTCCAGGTGAGGTTCTGGTGATTGGTTCAAATCTTCCAATCATCGCTGCTCCGGGTGATGATGTCATCCTGCCGTGTCACCTGGCGCCCACGTTCGATGTCCAGGGTCTGACGGTGGAATGGTCCAAACCCGACCTGAAGCCCGACCCGTCGGACCGGCTGAGCCGAGTGGAGTACGTTCACCTGTACAGGGACAGGAAGGAGGTCCCCGACATGAAGATGGCCTCGTACTTCAGGAGGACGGAGCTGTTCATGGACGACATGAAACACGGGAACATTTCACTGAAGATCCTGAACGTGTCGGAGGAAGACAACGGCAGATACAGATGTTTCATCCCCAAGCTGCAGAGCAGAGTGAAAGCTGCTGTTGTTGAACTTGTAGTCGGTGAGGAGATTTTTGTTGATGTTTGTGGTTCCAAACTCAAAGTTGTTTTTGTCCCCAATACAAACTTTCAGCCTAATTTTAATAACAGATTTTGACTGTTTTGTCTTTTAGATTCAAACTTTGCTAAAACCTCAGAGACGCCGCTGCAAACTCCAGATCCTCAGGACACGACTCCAACAAATGGTGAGAACACAGTCCAACTCTTCTCTGCATCATCCCTGTTTGGGGTTTTGTGCATTTGTGGTGACCTTCTTGTCTTTTCTACATCAGCAGCTCGATCCAGGGTCCCTGTGGTCATCGCTGTCGTCACCTTATTATTAGTTTTGGCTCTCGCTGGTTTTGCTGCATATTTCTCCAGACACATTTTTCACCAGACACTAAAAGTAAGAAACAAACAAACAAACACAAACATGTTGTTGCTTCTTGTGTCGTCAGACTGACTCATTATTCTACTTTTTTCAACAGAAGCATCCAGAGGATGATGAGACAGAAAAACAACCACTACCAGTCTAGCTGCTTGCTCAAAGGAATAAATGGACTAGTTCTTCTATACTGCTTTTCTACGCTGGTTTAGCAAAGAACACACTTTGAACTTTGACCCCAGCTGAAGACTCGAGCCTCGTCCAGTTTATTTATCGAGCTCATTTTCACACAAAGAAAATGTTGTAAAAGAAATGATCATCATCACTGTTCTGGACTGAAGTGAATTATTCCCAAACAGCAGGACTGGAAGGATTTCACAGCATTAAAGGAAATTTCCATGAACGTTTGTGACACAGCTCAGGTGGAAAGATGGAAATAAACCCTCATCTGAAAACTGTGTGGGAGACACAGAAGTTACAAAAACAGGTTATAAGCTGATTACTTTACTGCACTGTGTTAATGACCTGCTGTGAATGATGTTTAATGCAGCTGTAATTTAAACAGAGTCACTTATTGTGATGCTGAAAGTGTTTATTTATGAAAGCTAGTTTTATATGACAGCACTGTGAGCACCTTATACAAGGTGATTGAAACTTCAGATATTTATTGGTCTTCATTTTTAAAGCCACAGTTAATTTATTAAATGTAATTGAAACTTCCTGCTGGTCAGGACTTGATGTTCAGACTGTTTCTAGTTATTTATTTAAAGAAGCAGTTTGATCCTGATGCAGAGCTCAAGCTTAACTTCCTCTTTTTGTCATTTAAAGCTACAAACTTTGTGCAGACTGACAGAAATCCTCCTGACTGTAGTTTCTGCTGCAGTTACGGAGCAAAAATCAGAGGATGTTTGTGTCCAACTCTTCTTTATTCCTGCTCTGTAACATGACAGAGCTCCTTTGGTTCACAGTTAAACAGATGTGTTTTTTTATTATTATATTTTATTTTTTTATTACCTCAGATATTTATTTATAAGAATATTTATATTTAAGAATTTTGGATGGATGTATTTGTTACTGCAGTGAGTGTAAAGTTACAGTGATATATGTGAATGTGTGAAATCGTCTGCAAATATGAGTGTGAAAGTAAAAAGTTCAAGCACGTTTAGACACTGTTTTCTTTTTTGCCTCTATTTGATGTTAAGTCACCGTTTACCTCGTAACATGGTTACATTTGACAATGAGAACCTATATTTATATTAATGGAGCCTTTACTTTGTTTATTGTTTGCACCTTATAAACCTGACGTCAATCATCAACATAGTGTATGCAGTTCAAATGCAGCTTTTCTTTAAGAGAACGCTGCCATCTGCTGGCTGACCTGCAGAAAAGCTGTTTGTGTCACAGGTTTGATGACACACCTGATGTTATCAAACCTCCAGTCAGTCTTTTTTCCTGCTATGCTGGTGTAAATCTGACCAGTAGAGCTCAAAGTTCATCTCCTTCAAGAAGGAAACTTTCCATTTCTACTTAGTCAGACTTCTTGTGAAGTCGTCCAAACACAGAATCGACACATTTAATGACAATACATTAACTGTGACACAGGTTTTTATACTGAACACTGTGGTTTTCGTGAAAATGCTGAAGTTCTTCCCTCAGATCAGTAACATGTAGTAAAACAGCAGTGCTGACCCGCAGCTTCCTCTCTGTTCACATCAGGCTGCTCTCGTCCTTCTACTCCCACATTTATACTGTGAGCACCTCGGACAACATGCCGTCACATCATCACAACACATCAGCTTCTTCCTCCTCAACATTCATCTTTACAGTCTGATCTGCAGCTTCTCTGCTCCTGACTCTCTCTCTCTGGTTTCTACACAGAGAGGAGAAAACATCCACCTGCTCCACCCAGAATCAAAAAGATGAAGAAAGAAGATTTCCTGCTCTACTGGACAAATAAAAATCCCAAGTGACAGCAAGGAAGACAGAATGACTCAGCATGAAAATCTCTAACTCCCAACACTTATGTGATATGTGTTTTGCATTAAAGCTGCACTTCAGTTACTTCAGATTTACATTTAGTTCCACATGTATCATTTAAAAAAATCCACACCCTCGCCTCTGTAGTCAGCTGACTTTATGGTTTTACCAAGTGATCTGAAACATGAGACTGAACTAAAGAAGCACAAACATCGCTTCCTCTAATTTCCACATTGACTCACCAGTGACTCAGCATGACGCATGTGAAACATGTCCAGTGTTCTGTTTCAGGGACTCGAGTAAGCTCCCCAATCTCAGTGTTCAAATGACAGTTGTAAAATAAATTCACTTGCAGAGTTGATGGTCAACACTATCTAAAAAGACCACAAGTGTTGTTGTACTTCCTTTATAGTCATTTAAAACCTCAGGCAGTGCCTGTGTGACCCATCTGAGTTTAATTCCAGCTCCTGATTTAAGGCTTTTGCATTCATCAAACCATATCTTTAAAGGAGTTTTAGTCCATTCGTTTAAATTATTTTTCTGTTCCAAATATAATTTTTTATCTCCTAATATTGTCTGTAGTGGTGATTTTAATTGTGTCACATCTAAATATTTCCATTTTGCTTCATACAAAGGATCACACCAATAAATTAAGTATCTTAATTGTGCTGCTTTAAAATAGCTTTCTAGGTTTGGGAGGGAAAGTCCACCCCGTTCCTTAGGTAGTTGCAATGTTATTTATCTAACTCTGGGTTTACGGCCCTTCCATATAAATCCCGAAATCATTCTGTTCCATAACGCAAATTGTTTGGCTGGTATGTGTACCGGTATAGATTGAAAAATGAAAAGCAGTATTCAGCAGTCGCCTCCTTGTTCTGACACACACAACTAAACTATTGACTACACTACACACTAACTACACAAGATTTGCGCTAAACGTCGCAAATCTCTCACATCTCAACCATCGCATTATTGGCTGGACTAGGATAAGGTGGCATCGTTCTAAGCAGCCAGTCACTTACTGACTAGCACTGCAAAACAGAATTGTTAAAGTTTTAATATTAATTTCAATTCAGGTTAGATTTTTTTTTTGCGCAACGCAGATTTTCTGTGCGCAGAGACCGTGCCAGCAGCAGTGAGCAATTGCGCACGCGCGCAGCTTAGAGGGAACATTGCTCGTTACCGTATCTGGATATTTGAAGACTAACAGGTCATTCATACATACATCCAGTGAGATCGAGGCAGGAGCACAGACAACCTCAGGTTTGATTAATTAATCCACGGACTCCGTGTTCTGTGCACCATGTCTGTCTTCTATTGTGGACTGTGGACTTCTATTCTGTGCTCGGCTTTCAGCGTGTGGACTCTGGCTGGAGGTAAACGTTACTGTCAGCTCACAGCTGTGTGTTCTTCTTCTCCGTGTCGCTGTGAGTGATGACAGTTATCAGTGAGTTACTTTGACACGGAAAGAAGTTTCAACGAGATGATTTAAGCAGGCTCTCCTTTGCGATGAGCGGCTTTACCCCGTTTAAGCGCTCACAGAGGATTAATTATAACGGACAACACTGAACAGGCTGAAAGTGTGAGTGTGAACGTGGTGTCTCTGTTAATACTGCAGGGCCGCGCGTGATTAAAGTGTAATAGAAGACACGTGCTATACTTTGCTGTTTGGCACCAACATCTGACAGGTGTGGAGATCTCCCGGTAAACGTTAAAACCGTCCGCTGAAAAAAAAGAGAGACTTAGAAGCCGCATCTGGCCGTATCCATCCACCCATCCCATATCTATGGAAGCCCGTTACCACCACTAAGGAAAAAAAGGATCTATAACTCGAGTTATTTTCTCGAAATGTTGAGAAAAGTAACTCGAAATTTCGATTTTAGATACTTGATTTTTGGGTTGTTTTTGTTTGTTTGTTTGATTTTTTTTTTATTGCAAACGGGCTTCAATACGTATCCGTCCCATGAGTCAGTCAGTGAGTCACGGAGAATTGTTGTAAAGTATTTCATCAGTTAATCAGCTCAGAATTGATGTGACTGAACAAAAGGACGTTGTGACATTTAATAACAACTCATTTGTTTTAAATGCTTAGATGACATTTGGACTTTCCAAATATAAGCAGCTCTGGTGATTTTGGTGACTTTGTTGTTTATCTGCCATGTAGATCATGTTTGAATAACCACCAATAATCAGTTATTGCCTGATATACGCAGACATCCATTTGTGTTAATCGGTTAGGCTTCTACCCTGCTGTGCTACACATCCTCCACAAAGACAGGTTATGAGTTAAATGTGAAAACAGCTCTGTTTTGTACTTTTAAACGCTCTCTGCTTCTTGCTGTTTCTTCATCTCGTCTTGTAACTCTTAGTACCCCAAAGACTGAAGAAATGGAAGAAGACAAAGGTGATTCTGTTTAAACTGGAGCTGAAACAAACAAAAAACCTTTGCCTTTCCTTGTCATGTCTAACGGTTGACATGTCTCTGGCCTGGGAGGGTTATCATGAGCATTTGATTAACAAATTAATGAAATTAAAGCCGCAGTGTTGAACAGTTTTGAAGAAGGTAATCCAACGTTTTTCATGTGTTAAACCAGTTTTGTTACTTGTGGCTTCCTTCAAAAACTTGATGGATGCTTTTGTTTTTGAAGAGGTGATAAAGAATAGAAGTTCAACGAAATTGACAGAACTCAGAAACTCGACCTGTTTATTTGCATGGTTAATCCCTAAAGGGCCGTCTCTCTAAAGAGGACTCACTAAAACTAAGAAATACTCATTGGTTATGTCTGAAATCTCTCAAACGTATAGTGAGTGTTATGGGCCAGAGAAATTTATTTTCTTGAAGTCTTTCAAAGATAGAAATGGCAGAACCTGACTTTATTGAGCTTGTATTCCAGTTTCTTCACGTATAAAAGCTGACAGAGTCCCACATATTGAACCTTCAGTGGTGTTGTGACCTATGATGATGTGTAATGTCACTGTCACCCTGTGATCATATGGGTCCTTATGGACACATGAGCTGAGGTTTATACACAACCTCAGCTCATGTGAACTCTGAACTGAGGTTTACCAGGTCCCAGGCTCCTTAATTCCACTGACTCGGCATCACTTATTAGAACTAAACAAGGCTTTAGGGTGAAACAAATCTCCCATGAGTTCTCTGTTGGTTTTGGAAACATATTGAGGAGGACTTGTTTCATTCAATAATTTAGTCCCAGAAACACCTCTGCAGTAACACCACAAAGACTCATGGGGCTGTTCATGATGTTCAGGTCTTCAGTGTGTAACTTTATAGAGTTATACACTGACGATCTGAGGATCTGTGGAAGTTCTGTAGGAGTTCAGGAGAATTAATTTTCTGCCTGTTTCCAGGTAAGGTTCTGGTGATTGGTTCAAATCTTCCAATCGTTGCTGCTCCGGGTGATGATGTCATCCTGCCGTGTCACCTGGAGCCCATGTTCGATGTCCAGGGTCTGACGGTGGAGTGGTCCAAACCCGACCTGAAGCCCGACCCGTCGGACCGGCTGAGCCGAGTGGAGTACGTTCACCTGTACAGGGACAGGAAGGAGGTCCCCGACATGAAGATGGCCTCGTACTTCAGGAGGACGGAGCTGTTCATGGACGACATGAAACACGGGAACATTTCACTGAAGATCCTGAACGTGTCGGAGGAAGACAACGGCAGATACAGATGTTTCATCCCCAAGCTGCAGAGCAGAGTGAAAGCTGCTGTTGTTGAACTTGTAGTCGGTGAGAGGATTTGTTTCGGTCATGTTTGTGGTTCCCAACAGTTTTGTGTGTTTTTTCTGTACCATTACAAACCTTCAGTTTCATTTTATTTTTTTTTTCGTGACTTTTAGATCCAAACCACGTTAAAACCTCAACGACAGAGACGTCGCTCCAAACGCAAGATCATCAGGACAAAACTCTAAGAAACGGTGAGATAACAATCCAGCTCTTCTCCTCATTATTTCTGTTTGGGTGACATTTTTGTGCATTTACCTTTTTTCCTTTGTTGACATCACCAGGGTCTCTGTGGTCATCATTGTCATCGCCTTCATGTCCGTTGCTGCTGTCGCTGCTTTCTTTGCATAATTCTATTAGTGCATTTTTTTAGACATTAAAAGTAAGAAACAAACAAACAAATAATGTCGATTCTTGCCATCAGACTTAACTGGATTTAAAAAAAAAAATCTTTTCAACTGTTTTTTTTTAAAATCAGAAACAGCCAGAGGCAAATGAGAAAAACACTTTTTATTTTTACTGGATCTTCAGTCAGGTTGGATTCAAACCAACAGCCACCGGGAGACACTCGGGCCCAGCAGCACCAAGATCATCTTCTATAACAGGAAGTGAGCCTAATTTGAACTTTGACCCCAGCTCAAGACCATGTCCAGTTTATCTATCAAGCTCATTTTCACATAAAGAAAGTGTAGAACAAGAAAACAGAGAGTGGAAGATCAGAGGATCTAAACAGGAAATATTTCTTACAGACGTCTTCAGTCAGAGTTGCTGCTGTCAGACTCTGGAGGATCTGCTTGGAAACATCAAGCAGTGAAACTGATGGATTTCCTCCTTCAATACAAAAATGTGAAGTTCAGGCTGGAGAAGAAACACTCCTCTGCCTCACTGTCAGCATGTTTAATGAATATTTATTGTAATGTATGTTTGCACTGATTGCCGATCACGCTTCAACTGAGTCGTCCTCGGTCAGAAGGAATGGTACTCCACAGTGATGTAGTTCAAATAACTTTACTAAGGAGGTGGCAGATGAAATCAACAGGATGTACAGCGTTGGTAGGGAGGCATTACAGTATTCACATGCAGGTAACGGGGGTGTGAGTGTGTATATGGGTATGTGTGTGTGGTCATATGGTAAGCACGCACGCAGTATTAACTCACACAGGAATGCAAGTAAATACGTTACTCCTCCAACACACCTCTCATCTGTCCTGAACTGCGCTGAACACGTTCCCAACCGGAAGTACAGATACCGAGGTGCATCATGGGCAACGTAGTATAAAACAGCTACAATGAACAAGCGGACTTTTAACATTTATTTAGTCTCACTGTGTGAACTTATTTAAATGTTATACCTGAGTATTTAAAGAGAACTTAAATCTTCAGTGAGACCTTAAAGCGTCTCCGATTGACAAATTAAAGGGTTAAAATCCCCCCTGATCATTGCTAACTAGACCGAAACAAATCATCCCCAAACACCAAGACTGTTTTGTGTTTAAATATGTTCAGTTTTTTTTCCAGCATCCGATACAGATCAAAGCGTTAAAGGAAATTTAAAGGTTTCTCTCTAGGTATGGCCTCCTTCCATAGTCCAAACATTAAGTGGAGACTCTACATTGCTCATAGGCAATGTGAGTGTGAATTTTTCTGTCTTTCTGTATTGGCCCGCAACAGACTGGAGATCTGTCACGGGTGCACTCCGTTTCCCGCCCTATGGTAGCTGGGATGGGCTCCCTCCCGACCCTGATAAGGATGGAAGCTGCACTTCCAACAATATCTATAAAAAGGGAAATCTTTGTGCCCAACTTAACATGCAAAGCAATCTGATACAGTTGAAAATTACTCCTAAGGTCAGCCTAAGTGTCCTGGAGTGATAGTGTTGCAAACAGAAATACCCAGAAGAGCCAGAGGATCAGGGCAGGGGGTATATTTATCGCAAATATGTCTGTAGTTCAAAGTGATGGAGAACAACACTTGTTTATAGCTCAGTGATGGACTTTTGTTTAGTAAGACCTACATAACTGGGTGAAAGGGTGTTCCAGCTCATGACTGTGTTGGCTGGTCGTGTTTTCTCCAGGTGTTTCCAGATGTTTCTAGTCAAATGACTAAGGAAAAGAGAGCGAGAGGGGGGCGGAGCTAAAGAAGTAGCCTACTTGAACGGTCCACGATGATTCGGGTTATTCATTCAAAGAATAACTATGAGCCATGTCTGTGTACAGCTCGCTGGGTGGAGACTCTTCCTCACTGTGGACTTTCATCCTGTTCTCAGCTTTGCTCGTCTGGACTCCCGTTCAAGGTAAACTCACAGCTACATTTCATTCACATTTTCAAGAAATAAACAAGCCGAATTCCCTTTTAGCAGTTCAACTTTGTTTTGTGTCACTGTGAGTAATGACATCAGTTAATTACTTTTGAGACGTAAAATAATGTTAAATTGTGGTGATTATCAGGCAGGTTCTGCCCCGTATGAAGCGGTTTCTTCCCATTTGAGCGTTGATAAGAGTGTTATGTAGGTCGGATAAAGGCGATGATCCACTGAGCATTCTAAAGATGTGTAAAGGTTCGACATGCCTATTTACGTCAGACGCGCCACACCTGTTTCTCACAGCGTAAACAAAACGCGTGCGTCACATTGCTGCCTAGCAACAAGAACGAAATAAGGAAACATGTCCGGTGTGGAAACTCGCTAGAAAACATTAAATATAATCTCTGATATCACGTAATGACACATTTCAAACTTTTTCAAAGTTTGAAATGAGCCGCCATTTCGGCGCAGTTGTAAGGCCTGATCACGTGACTGATTTGTCCAATCAAATTCAGTCACGTGAAAGTCTTGATTTTACATATGTTTCACTTATTCTTGTAAATATTTTTAGTCAGGCTTTCAGTTTAAAGTTTCCATTCTGCGTTAGATTTTAAGTTAGTCCTACTCCACTGTTTTATGAGGTAAACTCCCTGAACCTACCGTACAAAATAAGAACATAGAAGAAAATCTAGATTAACTTGTACCTTTTTATGGATCTCCTGCTTTGTTCTGAACAGATATGTTCACCTTGGAAGGGAAGGGGTGCTTAATTTGTGTGGTACACACATTTGATCTTTCTAAGAATATTCTACTGAGTTGTAAATTTACACATGTCATAAGCTCATTTATTGTTTGGTAATCATGACTCTGCTCTTTTCAGTCTTGATTTAATTCCATCATTGAGTCATTTCTGGGAAAACCCCCACCACACATCCAGTTAGTTAATCACTGGTGACTAGACATAAAAGAAATTCAATTATATAGGGACTTTTGTGTATGGTTTCTTTATTATTATTATTATTATTATTATTATTATTATTATTATTTTATCTGACCTGTTATCAGGGTCAAGGAATTATTTTGTGAATATTTCTAACTAATCTATATAGAAAGCATTAAACATCACAATTTAATAAAACATTACCGAATATAAGGCAAAAAAAAGATTATATTAATTAATTTCCATATGTTTATATGTTTTTGTTTGTTTGTTTGTTTTTAAATATATTCATGTTCAGGCTTCATGTTTTTGTGTATGATGTCAGCTGCTTGTATAATAAAATCTTCTCTATCTTCTCATGATCTCTTCTGAAGTTGTGAATTTCTTTTTCCAGTTATTCCGACGTCCCGTGATGGTACAGGAAGTCTTTCTAGAAGTCCAGAAGTCTTCATTAGCCAACTTGGTAACGTCTCCACACTGTAGAACTTAATTCACTTAAATTACATTGAATTTGTTTAAGAAATCATGGCCTTACGGGGGGGGAAAGTAATGTCAGCAAACGAGGACTGAATTAAACCAACGTCACACAAACCTAATATACTGAATATTTGCGTTGTTGTTTCCACACAAACACCAGAAACCACATCATACATTGTGGTAAGGGGATGAATTAACACTATGTTCCAATATTTTTAGCCGACATATGCGTCCATCATGGTTTTCCACAGATGAGCTAGTTTTGGCTTTAACAACCTAATTCAGAAGAATTTGGTTAAAAGTCTCTGTGGATTAAGGTTTTTTTTTTTTTTTTTTTTTTTGTCTTCCTGTGTCTGGTTACTGTAATTTCCTTGTTCTGGATCAGCAGGTACCCACAGGAACCCAGCATTTTACTGTCTGTCTGATGATCTCATGATGATTTCACTTAATTACAGAGATTACTCACAGAGGAAGCTGTTCAGGTTTAGATTAAAGCAGTTACGGACCAGACTGTTTCCCATGATCAAAACTTTGAATCCCTGACACTGCGTGTGTCTGAACCAGCACAGATATGCCTCCATTTAAACCGGATGCATTCAGCTTAATTTATTCTGCTGTAAATTTGCATCCTGATATTGAGATCCCTGTCCTGTTTACCAATAGACTGAGGAGGACTTCTTTCTTTAAATAATTTGATCTCAGTAAGAAACATTTCTGGAATAACAGCAGAAACACTCATTTGGCTGTTCAAGATCTTCAAGTGTTTGTGTGTGTGTCACTTTACAGAGTTATACACTGAAGATCTGTGGAAGTTCTGCAGGAGTTCAGGAGAATTAATTTTCCATCTGTTTCCAGGTGAGGTTGTGGTGATTGGTTCAAATCTTCCAATCATCGCTGCTCCGGGTGATGATGTCATCCTGCCGTGTCACCTGGCGCCCATGTTCGATGTCCAGGGTCTGACGGTGGAGTGGTCCAAACCCGACCTGAAGCCCGACCCGTCGGACCGTCTGAGCCGAGTGGAGTACGTTCACCTGTACAGGGACAGGAAGGAGGTCCCCGACATGAAGATGGCCTCGTACTTCAGGAGGACGGAGCTGTTCATGGACGACATGAAACACGGGAACATTTCACTGAAGATCCTGAACGTGTCGGAGGAAGACAACGGCAGATACAGATGTTTCATCCCCAAGCTGCAGAGCAGAGTGAAAGCTGCTGTTGTTGAACTTGTAGTCGGTGAGAAGATTTGTTTTGGCGATGTTTGTGGTTCCAAACTCAAATTTTTATTAACAATTTATGACTCTTATGTTTTTTTTGTGTCTTTTAGACCCAAACTACGGGAAAATCTCATCGACAGAGACACCACTGCATCCCAGAAACGTCCAAACTCCAGATCCTGAGGACACGACTCAGAGAAACAGTGAGGAAAAAAAATCCAGATTTATCTCTGCATCATTTCTGTTTTGGTGACGTTTTTTGGTCCATTTGTGGTGACCTTTTTTCACCTCAGCAGGTCGGTCCAGGGTCGCTGTGCTGATCTCCATCATCATCACTGTTTCTTTACTTGTAGTCGCTGCACTTGCTGCTTATTTCTCTCGCCATCACACAAAAGGTACGTCAGAAACAAACACAAACATGTTTTTGCTTCTTGTGCCGTCAGACTGACTCATTATTAAACTTCTTTTAATAGAAGCATTCGGGGGACCAGGGGATCCAAAGTCATAACAATTACTAGTGCTTTGCACAAAGGATTGTTGGTGTTAATGGAGTGGAGAGCGTTGGTTTATCTTTTCTGGATCCTGACAATTTGGTTGGGGATTCAAACAAGCAGCCACAGGAAGACACTTCAGTCCAGCAGCACTGAGATCATCACAAGGTCACTTTTACAAAAGTGTTTAACAACTATCAGATAAAACACAGAGTGAATGCTACACAGTATCTACACAGTAAATAAATGAAAGACGTTACATGTACGTTATTATTATCATAAATAGAATGAGAGCACGAAGCTCTGCTGAGGAAAGTATTTACTTTAAAAAAAAAAGTTTTCTATTTTGTATGTGTTCGTTTTGTTTTCTTTGTTTGTTTGTACTTTATGAAGTTTGCAAAGCAGTAAATATGTGATAATAATCTGACAGATGTTTACTTTGATTGCACAAACATTATGTAGGAGTCATGGATGAATAACAGGTATTTATTTGTAAATAACTGACTATATAAAACTTGAGCTGATTATTTAATTTTACACTATAGTATATTTCTGACTAACTGGGCAGCTTACCATCTTTCTCTGGGGTCAACTTAAAAAAGCTTTTATTTGGTATAGAAATTCACAGTTAACCTCGCTGATGTGAAGCATGCACTTGACCATAGATAGAGAGATGGTGTCTTTGATTTTTAAATGTTTGTCTTGACATTTGTTCTACTTATTTTTTATGAACTTTAGTGTGTTTCTTTTATTTGTCTTTAATGTTTAAAATCACCTCCTTCCTGCTCTTTGTAAACTTTGTTTTTAAAGTGTGTTATAAATAAATTATTCCGTGCCTCATATATATTTATTTATTTATCATTTCTGTGTGTTGTTTCCTGTTTGCATTTTGTGAAGTTTTCAAACTGTTTGATTAGATGAAAGTTTGTATTTTTGTGAATTATTTTGTGTTTCACAGATATTAAAATGCTCTACAGAGTTTTATTATTCTTAGCTCAGTCTGATGCAGTCATCTCTTACTGCTTTACACACATACACACACTCTTACTCCTTTATGTCTCAATTAATGTCATGTATGATGAAGTTTTCATTAGTCTCATGTTTCTGACAGTTTGATGGGAAACATGCACGTGAGGAGCTACCTGGATTTAATTTGCCAGGTCTGGTAGTCCTCATCTTGCTCCTTATCACAAACTAGCTTTCAGGGCCTCATACAAAAACAGTCTTAACCCTCTAAAATAAAAACTAAAACTACATATAAAAAAAACAAAGAGTGACATTTTAGTTAACTAAAATAAAATCTAAAAATTGTCAGAAAATGCAAAACTATAATAACTCTTATAGCCATCTCCAGGACTGTTTTTGTTTTGTTCCACTTAACACAGGTGCAGACTCGAGTCCTCAGTCCTGTATGTCACTGAATTTGTCAGAGACTGTGGTGGCAGACCATGGAGTTGCAGGCGAGAAGTAGCACCCAAATGCACGACTCTTGTGGTGAACAGTGAATTTATTTATAAAGTGCACAATGAATCACTATTTACAAGTTCCAGGCACTGGGGTGGCGTGGCGCTTCCTCCCTGATCCACACAGTGCAAGTGTCTATAAAAAGTGCATAGTGAAAACAGCAAACTCCTACCAATACCTAGTGAAGACAAAACACATTGATGACTAGACGATCCTTACTTTAGCGAGGGATTTCTAAAATAGCAGACCGCGGCTGTACTGACAAGTCAGAAGGAAGAATCGGCACCGACTGGAGCTCAGCCACACTCTTAAATAAGGCGCTGATGACGAGTGGCAGGTGTGGCTTCCTCCAGCGCAGGAACACTTGCAGGATCACGATCTGGCAACCCAAAACATCTGGGAGCATGGACACAAATACACACACAGGGAGACGGTTGAAGAAAACAACCAAAAGACTACACTCAGAAAAAAAGCATATTTATACAGAAAGTACAAGTCACAGTGATTTAGTGATCATTAAAATGTGTTTAGAACTGCTGATGGTTCATCTCAGACGCACGATATGATATCCTCGTGTTGGTGTTGTTGGCACATAGATGATGACACACTGCTCTCCCCTTGTGACTGCCGTCAGCAGCAGTTTTGCAGTTTATGGTAATTTCATGGGTGTAAGTTACAATAAATACATTAAAGTACTTTCTTTTTAATAAATCATATTTAATGTATACATTTTTGGTTTAACAACAGACATTTAAAGGTTTTACAGAATGTTTCCAGGGTGGAACCAATGTTCAGTCTGTTGTTTGAGGTTGACAATATTTTCATTTACACTTCACACTCGGTAGAGAGCAGCATGCTTTCCTTTCTCAGTTGGTGGTAGAGCTATGTAGACGCATGCAAAGAAGTTTCCCGGCTATGGGGAAAGAGTGTGCACTGCGAGATGTGTTTTCATTAACCCCTTCAAGTTCATGCGGCCAATGAGGTTTGCAATTTGTGTTTTATATGTTTGTAGAAAAATTAGATGTTTGTTTGTGACAGAACTGTCAAGTTTATGTTGGTCATTGTAAAGGTCAAATTGTGAATGTTTTTTATGTTGTTGAATAATATGCTTTATTGTTTATTCTCTATGATAACAACTTATTGTGAAAACTGATCACTCTATGTTGTTTGCACAGTTCAAATGGCATGGTTGGTGCCACTTGTGTCCATTAAATGCAGTAAAAGTCAAGAATGCCTTGAGTCCGTTTTTCAACTTTGAGGAAGCTGACTTTATAATTTGAAAGTATTGGTACTGGTGTTGGCAATACTGTAGTTAATCAGTATTGAGTCGATACCAAAAGTTCGAGGATCACACAGCGTTGCTCAGAACTCTTCATCGTCACCATCATGAAGACCATGAAGAGTTGAGAGTTAATGATCGTTATTCAGGCTACAGACGATCCGCAGTGACATCTTGAACTTAGCTGATTTGTTCGTGAACCCGTGTTAAGTGTTCACATAGTAGACCCACACAGGGTCTCAGATGGATACGTTGATGCAATGCATCATGGGAGTTGTTGTTAATTCCTCCACCAAAACAGTCTTAAAGTAAAAAAAAAATAATAAAAAAATAGAAGTAAAAAAGTAACTTTTACTTTAAGAATCAGTGACTTACAAATAACATCCCTTCAAATTTGCTTGTGTCTAGACACGTAGGTGTGGGTAAATCCAGAGCCTGTCTGCACACTCACAACGTTACACCGATAAAAAGAAATGCTGAGATCTGACTTCATATCAGGATCTGTTAAAGTTTTTTTTAGCTAACCATAGCGCAGTGAAACACATCGCATATTCAGATGATTTAAATCATTTCACAGAAGAAGGATCAACACATCAGCGGAGACGTTCAGAGGGACTTTCAGCTGATTCAAAATGAATCCAAAGACAGTGAGATTAAAGATTAAATCATAGTAAAAATAAATAAATAAAATATAATCAACAGTATTTTCAGAGGGGTCAGAGCGCTGAGAGAACAATCATGGCAGACAAACAGATGACCAAAGCAAATACAGCAGTATTTTGTCTTTCAGTATCATAAGAGGCACAGCAATATTTTAGTTTTATGGTTTTATTTTGTTCGCTTTGTCTTCTCCTGCAGCATGAGTTAGCATCAATGTTCTGAGTCATCAAAGTCATGAAGCTTGTGACAAACACCTGTTTTATCTGCCAGCTGAATCTAAAAGTAATCACGGGGTAAACCGCGGGGATTTATGGGAGTTTTTGAAGACTTTGGAAACTTTATTTTGTCCCCTTCATCGAGTTACAGTTAAATATTATTGTTTGTTATAGATCATGTTTTTTTCTAATATTTCCGTGGTCCGAGCTTTTCTATAGCAATGAGTAATTATTGTTAACAACAAAGAACAACTGATCTGGTGATCATGTTGTTTGATAACGAACGTTAACGGGTCAAGGCTCCAGGTGTTTCCAGATGTTTCTGGATGTTTCACGTTTGGAGTTCCTGATTTAAAAATTCTGGCATTAAATTGCTAGAGTCAAAAACATGTTTATCTGCGATCATGAGCGCAGTGAGTTTACTGATAGACACGATGAATTGTAAGATTTATTTATTTATTCATTCATATATAAACGAATATCACCAGTTAGCCTGACCACCTGTTAAATCGCGCAAACACTGTGAAGGACAGAAATATGTTCAGCAGCGGAGCAAGTCAGCTGTTGCTGTGTTCAACCAATCACAGACGAGCTTTGACTGAGCAGGAGGCAGAAACACAGACCTGACTGACTCAGTCCGTGCTCTATCTGCGATGTCTGTGTGCAGCCCGCTCTCTGCCTCGCTGTGGACTTTTATCCTGTGCTCGGCTTTCAGCGTGTGGACTCCAGTTCGAGGTAAACGTTACTGTCAGCTCACAGCTGTGGTTTCTTCTCTGTGTCGCTGTGAGCAAAGACAGTTATCAGTGACTTACTGACACGGAAAGAAGTTTAAACGAGATGATTCAGGTTCACCCCTGTGATTTGCGGCTTCCCCCCGTTAATATAGCAGGTGGACTGTGTGAGTGTGAACTTGCCAGACTGCTGCTTCTGTTAATGCAGCAGAATTTAAACAAAAAACAAAATTATGTTTAAAAAATATAATAGAGCGTTTTTTGTTTCTGACTAACACACAGGATGAAGTCTGTATTGTACTGAGCTGGTGTTCTATCATCACTGAGTGGAAACGACTTCATTTAGAGGGTGTATGAGGAGGATGTGAAGGGTGGAGTAAAAACAGATGATTAGAGTTGGGTTTAAAGGTTTGGGTGGAGCACTGAAGGTTTTATTAACACTCAGTTATTGTTTTTTTTTTTAATCACTGCTCTGTTACAGGTTATCTGAGGCAGAGTCACTGAGCCTAGCATGAAGTAGAACAACACAGCTTTAGTGTACTAAAGTAAGAGAGCTCTGACTGTAAGTGAAACATGCTCTACAGTCTGGTTCAAGCTGATTTGATAATAAATCAAACGAGGAGCTTTGACTTTAATAACTCATCTTATAAGACTAACCAAACTAATCAGATACTCTGGTCATGATTCAGCAGCTAGCAATGCCATGTGTGAGTGACTCACAGGAACTTCTGCTCTCTAATCTCATCCATACATACAGTTTTAACTGATGTGTCTGCAGGAAAGGCGTCCGGTGTCAAAATCTGAGTCAGACCAAATATGTGGATCCATCTTGGAAATAAGCAGCTGAGTCTAGTTTCTAGACTTCATGTGTCTGCAGATCACAGGCAATTATTGCTGAGCAGCACGTGTATGTAGGGTTCGTTATATAGTTACAGAAACACATCCTCCACATTATGAGTCATTGTGAAAAACTGACAGAAGGCAGATCTTCTGCTGTTTTGTTGGTTTGCTGTAAGACCACGTCCTGCTGATCCAGTTATCAACATGCTGCAGCTTCATCTCATGATCTTCTTAAACTCTGGGTAGTTCAAAGACTGTCACTGTGACACGAAGCAATGAAAAGAAGTCATGATGACTCAATCAGAAATCTGAATCTGATTAATTAGCACAAAATACTCCATGTCGTTGCTTTCAGTGCCTTTTGCTTTTCTTTGTCTCATCTGATAATCAGCTGAACGTCTCTGAGTTGTGAACATTAGTAAACTGAGCCTCGTCTGCATTTCCTTTAAACAGATTATCAGGTGTGTGTGTGTGTGTGTGTGTGTGTGTGTGTGTGTGTGTGCGCCTCAAAAATCTGACTTGTACCTAAAATGTTCAGTGTGACTAGAAATGTTTTATAGAAACACATTTCTAGTCATGAGGGTCTGTGGGAGTTCAAAGGGTTTAACTTTTTAATTTTCCATCTGTTTCCAGGTGAGGTTCTGGTGATCGGTTCAAATCTTCCAATCATCGCCGCGCCAGGTGATGATGTCATCCTGCCGTGTCACCTGGAGCCCATGTTCGATGTCCAGGGTCTGACGGTGGAGTGGTCCAAACCCGACCTGAAGCCCGACCCGTCGGACCGGCTGAGCCGAGTGGAGTACGTTCACCTGTACAGGGACAGGAAGGAGGTCCCCGACATGAAGATGGCCTCGTACTTCAGGAGGACGGAGCTGTTCATGGACGACATGAAACACGGGAACATTTCACTGAAGATCCTGAACGTGTCGGAGGAAGACAACGGCAGATACAGATGTTTCATCCCCAAGCTGCAGAGCAGAGTGAAAGCTGCTGTTGTTGAACTTGTAGTCGGTGAGAAGATTTGTTTGGGTTTTTTTTTAGCCATTTTCAAAGTTTCAGCCTCATTTTACAAACAGACGCTGACTATGTGTCTCTTTTAGATCCAAATGTCTCTGAAACCACGACGATGGACATGCTGCTGCTTCCTAGAAACCTCCAAACTCCTGATCCTCAAGATGTGACTCAGAGAAATGGTGAGAAAACACTCCAACTGTTCTCTGCATTGTTTCTATTTTTGTGAAGTTTTTTTCTAAACTGTATGTTTGTTTTGACCTTGTTCATTTCTACATCAGTAGGTCGTTCCAGGGTCTTTGTGGACGTCGCTTTCATGGCCTTAATATCAGTTGCTGCTTTTGCAGCATATTTTTCCCATCGCCTGGTTCAGAAACAAAAAGTGAGAACCAAACACAAACATGTTGTTGCTTCTTGTGCCCTCAGACTGACTCATTATTTAACTTCTTTTAACAGAAACATCGAGAGGATGAAGGGACCCAAAGCCAGCTATGACAGTCTAGCTGTATTGCTTAAAAGAGGCTGATGATAATATTTCATGAAGCATTAAAATTTATCTTTACAGGATCTTCACAGCAGACTTGTTAATAATTTCACCTCCTCACTGCGTACGACTCTGGATACTGTAGCTCCTGTGAGCTGATTTATCTTTGACCTGTTTACAGGTCAAAGATAAATCAACTCAAGACCTGCTGCAGGCTCATCTCATCAGTGAAAATAAGGGCAGTACGACTCTTGCACAGAGAACAGAGCCGGCAGCACCTGCTGCACATGAGGGAAGTTCACATGCAAAGACCACAGTGTTCATTTTCAGCTCTGCTCCACCAGCTCCCCCTGGTGGTTGGGGAACATACTGCCGGTTGGGCACAGTAATAACAGGAACTATTTATACTGTTTGTACGGTGCATAAAACAGTTACATATTTATGTAAACGTATTTATTTATATAAAAACTGAATTAAGCTGGACAGGCTGTGGTTAGTTTTTTAATAAAAATACACATTTGGCCTAAATTCACTGCTCTTGTATTGAAGTTTGTGTCACAGTGGGAGGCGGGTCACATATTGGCCTTAACACTTATATGACTGGGTAGCATTAGCAATTTACAGCCAGCAGATTCTTTTGTTTGTTTGTTTTCTTTCCCTCAAAAAAGGGATGGTGTGATAAAACGTTTTTCAAGCCTTTACTTGGTATTTACTACAAAATATGTGTTGTTTTAATTGTTTGTTAATTTTCCCCAATTTCTTATTTTGTTTGAATTCACTGTTTTGCTTTTGTCTGTAGAAACACTTTGCGTTTTCTACCTCCACATAGTATTAGTATTAGTTACGCAAACCAAACAAGAAATGCAACAAGACATTTGTAATCTCTTTGTAAACCGGTGATTCATTGTTGTGACATCCCTCCTTTTGATATATACTTATATATACATGTACTTTATTTATTTTTTTTACTGTTTTAATATATACAAAATCATTCGTTGTCAGGTGACATTTAATTCAATCTGTCATGACAAAGATGTTTTTCTGAAAACAAAAATCACATGACAAATGGCAATTTAAAAAAAGAAAAGAAAAATCTAGAACTGTAAACAAATATTGCCAAGGAAACACCAAGCATACCAGTTAACCCGGAAAAGCGTATTGGCTATGTCATTTTAAGCCAATCAACACAGAGAGGGGTGGAGTTTAGATCCGCCCATATTTCCAAAACACACTGAGAGTATTTGAGCAACCGGCGGAGAGAAAATGTGTCAGAGAGAATATTCGGGAGCAGGAGGCAGAAACACAGTCGAGAGGAGCCTTCATTCATTCATTCATTCAGACTGTGTACTTTATCCACCATGTCTGTGTACAACTCGTTCTTTGAGGACTCTTCGGTCCTGTGGACTTCTATCCTGTGCTCGGCTTTCAGCGTGTGGACTCTGGTTCAGGGTAAGCGGATATTTTAAACGTTACTCTGAGCTGCAGTTTAATAACATTTTATGAATCAAATCAGCCAAATTAACTATTATCAATTTTCCTTTGCCGTGTGGTATTATAAGCGATGACAGCTTTCAGCGAATTACTTTGACATTACATAATAATATATTAAATGTGATGATTCTCGGGTAACTTCTCCTCTAACGAGCGGTTTATTTTCGTGATTTTATTTTGATCCACCGAACAGTCTATAACTGTGCGTGTCATGTCTGTGTGTGAAGGTTTAAGGCCGATACTGAAGCCACACGAAGCAGAACCCTGAGTTTATCACAATGTAAACAGTAACCATGTTTGTTCTGTTTACACACGTGCTTAGCAACACTTCCGGTGACGCGATAACTGTGGCGATTCGGGGAAAACCAGCATCTGGTTATCTGAAATAATGACGTATACACTAACTAAACATCCGGTTTGTCGCATGAAATGTTTTCAGAGACTCGTTTCGCGCAGTCGTTGCTGTGAAATTTACAGTTTGGAATGAGCCGCCATCTTGTTTCAGACTCAAACCTGAATCACGTGATTTTCGTCCAATCAGGGCGGCTCTAATGTGCTGTGACCTAGTGTATGTGTGTAAATATATATTTCTATTTTTAACGTTAAATGAAATCGAATCAATTTACAAAAATTATTAATTAAAAAAATTTAAGTGGACTGGAATACATACATTAATAATATATGTTTCAAATTTAAAAAACTTGTAATCCCAAACAACAACCAATAAATATTTACACTTTAAACCGAACGAATGAAGCAAAGTCTAGATACTTATTATTCTTGTATAGCCCTGAGCTCAGCTTAATCTCATCACAGTGGATATCAGGTGGAGAATGAAGCTAAACAAGTAAATAATGACAGGATTAAAATGAATAAATTAAAAAATAATGAATGAATGAATAATTATCCAGTATGATGATCAAATGCTTGGCTGGGTTGCAGAAGATTCACATTAATAGTTAGTTGTTTTAAAACGATTAACCTGTAGCCTCTTATGGAGCCCTCCTTTGTTTTACATAATCAGGTAGTTCATCTTGGCAGAGAAGCAATGTTTGATTTGTATTGTGGTTTCTTTTTTCATATTTTATTGATATTAAGTTGTATATGTTGTAATCATATTTAATTTTTTGGCAATTATGATTTTGATATTCCCAATGGAAATTTAGCATTCAAGTGTCCTTGCTCTAAGTTTCTAAACAAGGGGTTGATGACTTTGTCTTGTCTATTATTACTTTGACTTTATCAGAGTTACAACTAATGAATCACTGTTGTAGGTAATATTGGTCACTCTACATGATAACAGCACTCACAACCTGATATGATAAATTAAATATTACCTGAAAAAACTAATTCAATGAGTTTGAACTATTATTCTTAATTTTTTAAAAACAATATTAATATTCTAATTTTTTTTCATATTTTTCTTTTCATGATTCATGTTTTTGTCTATGGTTGCATTATAAACTCTGTTCAAACCTTTTCCAGTTTGATTGGACAGTTTAGTAAGTTGTGGATTTCTTTTTCCAGTTAATCTGATGTCCCTTGATAGAACACAGTGTCTTCTAGAAGTGTAGGAGTCACCTTCAGCAGCCATCGCGGTAACATGTCCACACTTTGAAATTTGTTACACTGAATTTAAAAAGTTAAGATCAGTGCCTGCAAAAAATGCTATCAAGAAAGGAGGGCGAGCTAAACCACACTGTTTATGTTGAATGTTTTATATATGGACAATACACCCTTACTTTAGCAATTTTTATAATGAATCCAACTTAAAATAAGACAGTATTTATATTATCAGTGAAGAGACAACGTTTGGTCCTGTGTTTCATACACTGCACAGTTTCAGGACCGAGTGGTTAAACCTCAGCACTTAATAGCTTCACTTTAGCTTAATAGTTGCATTGTTTTTGCCACACAAACACCAGAAACTGCATCATTATAAATCTAGACACAGTCCCATGAATGTTTGTGCCCGCTATTACAGAAGTGTATATCTGTACAGTTTTTATACTCACCGTGAAAAGGGAACTTACACTAAGTAATTAGAGATTGCTTAATGTAAGCAGGTAACCTTAAAAAAGGAAAATATTGTTTTATTGATCAGAATTTGAATTCTCGTGAAGAGCCTTCTCTAAAGGCAAAAAGCAGATTTAAAACTAAGCAATGTATAATGAATATGTTGTTTATTCCTCCCTGTAGAATTAAACGGAGGGATTTCATATATTTATAAAAACAAAATAGTTTTACTAAGGATAAAAATTCATTCTAATCTCAAATGTCTTCAAATCTTTTACGTTTTTGAGCATTTATTGCTAAGATACATAATGTAAATCTTACCTTATATTTTATACCAAAAGAGCTCAAAAGGGGAATAAATAAATGAAAAATAAACCCAGAAAACAACAAAGAAATGTAAAAAAAAAAAAAAAGTAAAAAGCTTACGCTTAGAAAGAAAAGAGACTGGATTTCTTTAAGTTTCATGAAGCTGTCTCAGGAGTCCCAGGTTTTTTAAGCCATAGTGGGAGTTTTCCCTTAAGAGGGTTGTTGACACACTATTTATCATGTGCCTCATCACATGAGCCAAGATGTGAAAAAGAGTGTGGGTCATTATCACCACATGTTTCAGGTGAAACCGCTGTGAGACCTTGCCTCATCCTATCACGTGATCCATTGAAATCGACTGACGCAAGATGTGAGTGGGCGTTAAGGCGTCTGGGGAGGGATCTCAAAACTGGATTATAGATGGCAGAGAGTTGGTGTCGTAAACCCCCGCCTCTGTTCAAAGATGGTCGCTCACAGTGGACATAGATGGCGTCTTTCACTCCTCTTTCAAACCATCTGTCTTCTATGTCCAATGTGTGAACATGGATGACTGACAACTTACACAGATATAATGAACATTTAAATAAAGCTCAATCCAAGTATAATCCAGTGATACATTAATGAAATTAAAATATTTACTGTTTATAAGGCAGCAAAGCGTTTCTCTTTATTAAAGACACAAAGCTGAGCCTGACACATTTAATCTCATTACAAAGTTACAGGCAACAGTTCATCCTTGGGGGTGGGACATAAATATTAGATGGTAATCCAACCAAGACGATGAGATATTTCAGTCCAACAGAAATCAGCATTCTCTCTTTATAAAAAAAAATCACATATTTAAAAAAAAAAAAAAAAATTGCATGTTACATAACAAAAAGGACATGACTTTGTTTATTCCCCGAATCCAAACGTTCCTTACATAAACGCTTGAGTTGAAGACAGTAGGAATGGTTTTGGTTCTTCGAAGAGGTCTTCTCCAGGTCTAAATACTGACAGGAAGTCGCAGGTATTTCAGCTTCGAGGTGGTCCTGTGAGTCGCTGAGCCACCCTACCAACATGGTTTATTAAGAGCCAAAGTGCCACAGTGTGAGTAGGATGTTCCAGGTGTTTCAAATAAGAGTTAAAGCATCCGCACAAACATAAAACGGGAAAAATAATTCTGGCAGCCTTTAACGCAAGGGCTTGAGACTACGATAATCTGGATGGCTGAAAACCTTCACAGATATGTCACTACTTCATTTAAACTGAAGGATTAAACAGTTCTTTTTACCAAATATACTGAGGAGTAGTTGTTTCATTTAATTTGGTCCCAGAAACACTTCTGCGGTAACAGCACAAAGACTCATGGGGCTGTTAATGATCTTCAGGTCTTCACGGTGTAACTCTACAGGGGTCTGTGGGAATTCGGGAGGTTTAATTTTCCATATTTCCAGGTGAGGTTCTGGTGATTGGGTCAAATCTTCCAATCATTGCTGCTCCGGGTGATGATGTCATCCTGCCGTGTCACCTGGAGCCCACGTTCAATGTCCAGGGTATGACGGTGGAGTGGTCCAAACCCGACCTGAAGCCCGACCCGTCGGACCGGCTGAGCCGAGTGGAGTACGTTCACCTGTACAGGGACAGGCAGGAGGTCCCCGACATGAAGATGGCCTCGTACTTCAGGAGGACGGAGCTGTTCATGGACGACATGAAACACGGGAA